AAACTTTTTATTGGAAATTTGAGCCCTTGATGTTTGTGAATTAGTTGTTGAAAAAAGTGCGTGCGCAGTTTAAATCAAGCTCACGAGTGGTGAAAAACCAGAAATTTGGCACCTCTTACAAAAAATTAACATTAACTTTAATAACGAAAAGAGTTCTGCTGCACAAGACAGAATAGCTTTTTTGACCACTTCAATTCAATAAATTTGCACGCAATCAGAATGAACCAAGTAAATAAAGCTATTATTTTATCACGAATTTCATTTGATGTTAGCTGTAATAATCATGAGGGAAAGGGGGAAGGTGCCTTCAATTTCACTACCCCCTCAAAGAGAGAGCGCCAGACAGATGGAACACTTTCTGGCGAATAAATGTAGTAATCGGATGCACTTAGACTCAGCTTCTTTTGTCCTTTCGAGGCTAACTCATGTTGCAACCACTTTAAGTAAATTATAACTTAATGTCTAGTTATCAAAAAAATCTTGTGTACCGCAAGCAAAGAGTACTGAAAGTTATATAATGAATGATGACAACTGCAGAACAGAGATCGATTGAAGCATGACGCTGACCTATATTAAAGGATCAATGTTCAAATCTAACTTCAAATCGACGCGGCAAATGCATTATATTCATTTTTTTGAGTAGAGTTTACTGTATGAATGAAAACAGTTTAATACGGTGAAATCTTCAGAGATGTAGGAAATTCGTAGGGAAAGGCATAGCTTTATAGGAAATTACGAAAAGTGAAGTGGGTGGTTTAACCTTTAGCCCACCATAGCCCTACAGTGCGACCAAAAGTCTAGATACAAATTTTACAAACTTTGCAGATTCATAGGTTCTGGAGAACTTCAACACTTCTTAGTAGTTTGATGTCGACCATCAAGGACAACATTACTACCATAATACCTAGTCAAAAGATTAGAGTTACGGATCAAACAAACATTTTGATACTCTAGACTTACGTGGAAGAAGAGAGTTATGGCGCTTTGTCTAGAGCAAACCATAGTATATCCACAGTTAAGATGGTAGCGC